GCTGGTGATGCTGTTGTGATCATTTGCTGTCCAAGACATAATGTGGGCTGCTGCTACAGACAGGGATTAAACCTCCTGGCCTTTATAATCCACAGCAGGGTACAGTGAGAGAGCATCAGGAGGCCCAGTGTGTCTCTGTGTCTCCATTATCGCTGTCGCCATCAAACCTGTGCACTGCAGCTTACACAACAGCCTGAGTCTCCATGGAAACTAGATCTTAGCAGGATGTGCCGGCAGTCGCACTGTTCACTTCTGATCTGTTTCAGTGGGGGCTTGTAGTGCTGTTTCACTCCAGCATAGTGGCTTTAATAAGATTTCCCAGAATTCCTTTGTCTGCCCCATATTCTGAGTCTATAAAACACTAAGAGGAGGTAGCTGAGGTCTAATCCCTGTCAGTCCAGAGGCCCTCTGGTCTGGTGTTTGTCTCCTCCTGGCACTGAAAGTTTGGGGTGATGATGAAGCCGGCTGTGCCTCTCACTGGCAGGCTGCATGTATGATGCATGTCCCCTGGGTCACATGACCAGCTCTGACATGACCACCTCTTCTGGTCATGGGGCACATTCCTCCATGTGAAGAGGGTGTGGTAAGGGGAAGGTGCTGATGGGAGATGGGTGCCTCTCTGGAAGGTGTGGACAAGGCTGACGGGGTGTCATGAGTTTTCCTCCTCTTTGTCTTCCTCAGAGCTGCTCGTCTTCAGGGAACTGACTGCCTCCTTCACACAGTGGTACAGGATGTTCTTCACCTGAGGACAGAGAGGAAGAAGACGATGAGAGCAGCTGCACATAATCCACAACAGTTTCATTAGTAATGTCAGCTCTGGCTGCTGTGCATTCTTCTGGGACAGTGGTCTGTATTTCAATTCTAGACTGCAAAGTATGTACAATAATCAAGTGTTGTGCATCAAAACTGAACGTAAAGGACAGGTTCACATTTTTTTTAACTGCTGAAGACTGTTGCATCAGAGAAACTTCTGAAAGCATTTTTACACAGAACACACTTTTAATTTTGCCCTGTCACTTACTATACAGAAAGTGTATTAGCAAAAATGGGTTGACTATTCATACAGGCACCTGTCCATTGTTTTAAGACAGACTTGAAAATTGTTCACCTTTCTGGTGAAATAAGTGGATTCTGGTTCCATGCTTTGCAGCTTATGTATGAAATTTTAACTTCCTACATTATAAACCATTTTGTAATTTTAAGGCTGTGTTCACTTCTTCAGTTACAGATACCATGAGGTATCCTGCAGTATGGCATACTATACGATTTGTTGTGTGTGTTGCTTTTCTTTTGTCTCTCCTCTATCCACTCACCCCAACCGGTCGCGGCAGAAGGCCGCCCACTAAGAGCCGGGGTCTGTAGGAGGTTTCTTTCGTTAAAGGGAGTTTTTCCTCCCCACTGTCACCAAGTGCTGCTTAAGGGGGATTTGTTGGGTTTTCCCTATGTAATAATATTGATAACAGTAAGGTCTAGACCTTACTCTGTAAAGTGTCCTGAGATGACTTTTGTTGTGATTTGGCGCTATACAAATAAAATCTGAACTGAATTTGAATTGAATTATGAGAAGTTGGATTTTCTCCTTGTGTAAATGTTTAACTTGGTTAAAAAGCACTGGGAGCTGAGATGAACACTGACACAGACACTACTAATTACACTGACTGGTTATACACCAACTTACAGTGCAGCTCGTCAATAAACACCAGAAGAGAAGAAGCAGATACTGTAGAACAGCTCAGCATACAGTCATACAGTATCTTAGGCATTTTGTCAGAATTGTAGTATCTCTCTGCAAAGGCAACATTTGTGTGTTCTAGGCTGGATCTAAAATACACTTGTTTTAATAGTTATCTATAATGAAAACCCTATTATAATACAATCTATAGCTTTAGACCATATACAGTATCATGACACTGCTACGTGGGTTTGAATGCTGTTTAATTTTATTTTGCCATTCTTGACATGCATCTGACTTGAGTCCACTTATGCCAAATGAGTGATGGAACATTATTTCGAAAGATGCAGACGGTACACACCTGTCTTTATACAGTCCCCACAGAACACTGTGCAGAAAACCAAGCAAGACAAAGTCCAAGAAACTGGATGTCTGAGACAGAATTCTATTCAGCTCTAGCTCTGGGACCAAGTACTCTTCCATCTCCAACACCACTTACACCTCTGACAGTGTTCATGTACTGGATATTGTTTACAATATGGTGGGCGGGAACTGCTGCCTGCCTAGCTGTAGTGCAGCAATAAATCAAAATGTAATCAGTATAAAAAATGGATTCATGCAACCCTACTATTTAATTTATGATGATAAAGGATGCTTTCATTTGTGCATATTTCTGAGGAGCTTTCAGTGTAGGACATATTTAAAATGAGCCTGACTTTCTAACAGAATGATGCTCCAGTAATTAGCTGCTTATTTACTTGCTGAGCAGAGCTGGGTTTTAGTTTTTCCTACTCAGCAGCCAGTCACTGTGAGCACTGGTACACAGAAGGACAGAAGATGGATGGTGACTCACACCTTATTTACAACCCTCGCTACGGATTTATTCTGAGAACTTGGATGTCCAGAGAACATCACTCATGATGATTCACTCTGCATCTCTGTCCTTATTTTACATTGAAACACACAAATGAAAGAAAAGAGGAAAGCAGGCTGTGACTGGGACAGGAGGGAGGAGAGAGACTAAAACTAATGATGTCAATGTGAGGAATCTTAGCAAGACGTTAGCTTGACATATAAGACAGAAGAGGGCTCTAACACTATGATGATTAATCGGGGACTGAGCTGTGGTTCACTACCTGTAGTTTGTCCTCATAGTTGACTTCCTCTTTATTAGGCCGCAGCTCCTGTGTCAGGTGGAAAGAGCTGGCCACATGCTCAGGAGACACAAAGTCATTGATGACTTGAACACAGCTGTGGAGGTTCTGGACCTGACAGACAGGAAGGACAGCAGGTATGAGGACAATGTGGCAAAGGACCCAACCAGACTGTTAATCGCTGTGATGGAAAACAAATGTAACAAAATGATACGTGTATGAAAAATAAAAACATAAATGACCTTGTTGACAGGTTTTGTAAAATCACACCACTTTACAAAGAATATAAAACTATTCTAGAATGGTAGTCAGCTTGAACTAACTGAAATGGAGATGTGTGAGATTTGTTACATCAGTATAAAACGATAAGGTACATATGGGAGGTGCACTTGCTGCATGATCTCAGACGGAGAACGGTCTCTAGTATTCATGATAATATAAAACAAAAGCCCCTTATGATCAGAGTAAGA